TTAGGGGTTTAGGGTTTAGGTAGTTTCCTAAATTAGGGTCGCTTTTTGGATCCCCATCAGAGTACGGCACCCTTATATAAAGGACCCCAAAAGGAGCCCTCATTTAGAGAACTACCCATTTGGTGTTGCTACAGGGCGGTATAGAATCGGGTATCACAGTATATAGCAGTCTATAGCAGTATATATAATAACACTAGATAGTAGTACATAACAGTATAGAACAGTATACAGTAGTACATAATAGTGATATATAGCAGTATAGAGTAGTATACTTTGGCAAGGGAAGAGACTCCTTTCTTCACGGTTCGGCTCCTACCGAGTTCAGGGTTTAGGGTTCACTTGTAACAGTAATTATCAATCATCAAGATGAACGGCAGAAGAAAATCTGTTAGCGATGGTCACCAACATGAAAGGAACAACACTCAGAGCAAAGGCTGAACATCATGATGAAGCATCCTGTCCTGAACCCTATGCCGAACTGTATAGCCCTTTCGGGGTGCCTACAACTCAAACATCGAAGCCTGAACCCTAAGTAAACCTCAAGCCCTAAACTTTACCCCAAACCCTACCCCCAAAGCCTTAAATCCTGAACCCTAGACCGTAAACCTCATAGACCCATCTGTCTTCCGGCCTCTTTCCGACGGGAAACAAGAGCCCCGCGGGGGAGCCATCAGCTGCCTGCATGGTTTCAGAAGCATCTCGCTCAAGTCACAGGCGAGCTGCAAAGGGCTTAGGGTTTAGGGTTTAGGGTTTAGGCTTTCGGGTTTAGGTTTTCGGGCTTTGGGCTGTTGCATAGTTAGAGAGGCGCGAAAACAACAGGCAAGAGAATTGCGATAGATATTTTCGTTTCCAAAGCCCGAAGCCCCGAGCGGGCACGACATTCTTCCGGCGCCCAGAGTACAGACAGAAGTTTAAGGTTCAGGGTTTAAGATTGCCTCAACACCGGATCATTCTTGCTGGCTCCTATTGCAGGCTTCCCGACTCGAGCCTCAACTGAGTTGTTCAGTAAGCCCAGTCGCCCCTACATCAGGGTTTAAATTTAGGTTCTTTAGGGTTTAGGTTCTAGGGTAGTTTATCTTGTCCAGCATCCGTCCCGAGAGAGGAAAGCGATCTCGACTACCCTCAACTAACACACGATGTCCAACATCAGGAAAAGCCCTTCATCCGAAACCATAACCGTAAACCCGGAGCCCTACACCCTAAACTCTAAACCCTGAACCATATACTCTAAACCCTAAACCCTAAACCCTAAACCCCAAACCCTAAACTCTAAACCCCTAAACCCTAAACGCGTAAACGCAAGACAAAGACCAGAGCCCCGCTGCCTGCATGGCGATCCTGAGCTGTTTAGGGTTTAGGGTTTAGGGATTTAGGGTTTAGGCTTTAGGGTCATGGGGTTTAGGGTTTAGGGTTTAGGGTTTAGGGCTTAGGGTTTAGGGTTTAGGGTTTAGGGTTTAGAGTTTAGAGGTTTAGGGTGAGGGTTTAGGGTTTGGGAGTGTAGGGTTTATCTTGACCTTCCAACTCGAAACCCTTAACCTAATGCTCTATCTTAATCCCTGATAACCTATTTTTTGAAGAACATATATACGGTAAGGGAAGTCATAATAAGAAACCCTAGACATGTAGGTTTTGAAGAGTCTAGGCAATATTAGGCCTTAATGATTAGAATAGGGTCTTGGGCCCAGTCTACTAGAAACATAATAAGGAACCGCCCCAAATAGTATAGGTAATTATTTAGGACCCTAATTATGAAACCCTAAACCCTAAACCCTGAACCCTAAACCCTAAACCGCCACAATCATTATTTAGGGCCCCTATATTACCCTAAGGGTCCAAGTACTTAATAATCATATACTCTTCTGAATACTAACCTACAAACCTACTATCCTTAACCTAAGTACATGATTATTAGGTCCGTTGGACCCTTAGGGTTGTGCCCTTGAACCATGGGGCGGCAATCGTTATCTGGGCCCCTTATATTACTTACCTCCCCATAAGCCAGGGAAATAAAAGATTGAACTTTCAGATTACTTTTAGGTGATACGAACCCAGAAAGTTTCAAGGTTGGGTGTTGGAGGACTACCTGTAGTCTCCATTGTAGTTCCTTTTTGGGTTTACCTTCTAGGACCCTTACTATAAAATTTGTTAAACCATAAAAAGGAACTACAATGGAGACTATAGGTAATTGTTAAACCCTAAACCCTAAACCCCGAAACCCTAAACCCTAAACCCCTAAACCCCTAAACCCTAAACCCTAAACCCTAAACCGATTTAGGGCCCCTTTTGTATGCCCTTGAACCATGGGGCTTCGGAGTTAAGGCCCCGGGTCTGAGGGGGCCGAGAACCCTATGGGCCTGAAGGCGTTTACTCGGCCGTTTAGGGTTCAATAGGATTTCGGGTTTAGGGTTTAGGGTTTAGGGTTTAGGGTTTAGGGTGTAGGGTGTTAGGGTGTAGGGTTTAGGGTTCATAGGGTTTCGTAGGTTTCGTAGGTTTCGGGTTTAGGGTCTAGGGTTTATGTTCATAGGGTTTCGTAGGTTTCGTAAGTTTCGGGTTTAGGGTCTTAGGGTTTAAGGTTCATAGGGTTTCGGGCATGGGATTCTGAAATTTTATCAAGTTAGGGTCTAGGGCTTAGGCTTTGGGGGTTTAGGGCTTTTCAAACATTCTAATTGTTTGAAAATTCTCCCGTGAAACACAGGAAGTATAGCATAGAACCCCCAACTCCACAGCTCAAAGTAGCTGCCAGCATGTTTCCCAACGAAAGGACAGAGCGAAATGAAACAAGGTTCGCCTGGCGGTGAGGAGGAAAAGCCTAATTTTCTCTTTGGCTTGTTACAGATGAAACAGAACAACGTGAGAGAGAATGCATGAACAAGCCGCAGAAAAGGTTTGGTTTTATGGGTGTCGAATTTAAAAGCAAAAGAAAAACCACATACTACCGTACATTTCATTGTATTTTCCTTTTCCTTTAAGCACAACACACGTGCCCCTCATGCTTTCCTCGACGCCTTGCGTCATGTTTGTCAATATCTGCTTGGTAGGCCAGACTTCCTATAAAGTTGCCAGGGCAACTTCTGGGCAACAGCACAAAAGGAACCTCCTTGCCCAAGAAGCCCTGAACCAAAGCTCCTGGACTCTACGACCAAAACCCCAAAACCCTGAACCCCAAACCCAAACCCCTAAATCCTGAACCCTAAACCCTAAACCCTAAACCCCCAACGCCAACACCAAACCTGAGCTGCACCTGAACCTGAAGGCCCTCAGCCGAAGCAGAACGTGAAACCCCACACCTACACAACTCTAAAATCGAGACTCTAGGGTTTAGGGTTTAGGGTGTAAGCCCCGAAAAAACTCAACCAAAAAGCAAAATGGCCCAGTGACCTGGCAAACTCCAAGCCAAGGATCATGCCCAACGGTTTAAGTCGCACAGCGAAGGTTGACCAACGACCGTCCCAGTCCTCTGCGTACACTTTGAATTCGCTCGGGTGCAAGGCTTCATGCGCTTGGAAGCTTTGTAAACGAGTTTCTGGGATGAAGGCTTTAGGGTTGCAGGATTGGACATAGGGTTTAGGGTTTTGGGGCGGGTCGGTGGGGGCTTCAACAAGTCTTAATCCTCCTAAGGTTCGGGTTCAGGAACCTCAGCACGCATGGGGTAATGAGGTTTGGGTATGGGGAGAGACTCGTGCGCATAAGCCGCATAAGTAGTCATGTAGGGGCCTGAATTGGGTTTTGGGGTATATAATGCTTTAAGTACAATAAGGAACCCCCAAAATAGTATGTGACTATGAAGGCCCTTTATTACTGTCATTCCTTGGGCCCCCAAACCCTACTCGCCATTGAGGCTCCAATGTTACCTCCCCCAGGGGTCCTCATAAGCTCGGCTGATCTGCGTAGCGATATCCTGGCAGGTGGATTCGTTGACAGGCTGCTGGTGTCAGGGTTTCGGGTTTAGGGGCGGTTTAAAGCTTCTAGTGGTTTTCTAGGTTCGGGGACTTAGGATTTAAAGTAGTCATAATCAATCAAAGTTATCGGTTTGGGGCTCCGGGATTGAAGGTTTTTAAGACTTGCCGGTGTTAGCGTTTCGGGTTGTCCAGGTTGCGAGTTGAGGGTTTCAGGCTCCAGGAGATTATCCGCTTATAGTCCCTATAGAGCTAAGACAGTTCTAGTAGACGTCAGAGGGCCCCCGCACTCAGCATGACAGTCGATGCCTCACGCCAAGCAGAGAAGTACTCATCGCAGTCGATGATCGGGTGTCCCGTCGACTGGAAGAGTGTATTCCTGCATTTGGGAGCTTGGGGGCTTCAGCCTACTATAGAGGCCTAAATGATTACCTATACTATTTTGGGGGGTTCCGTGTTATAATTGAAGAAACATCTAACCCAAAACCCTATTTTAATTATCAAGGCCCCCGCATTAGTCCATCAAAATCTGCAGCGGCAACCTCCAGGGACGGATTCAGGGCTTAGTTGGAGGGTCGGGAGACTTAGTAAGTAAGTAATAAGTAGACTTATAAGCCCCCTAAAAGAGACCCTAATTAGGGTTATCGTACTTATAAGTCTATAAAATAACCATTTACTAAGTCCCCCGACCCTCCAAGTAGGGTCGAGGGTTTAGGCCTCAAACGTGCAAATTCCAAGACCCCAAAAGACTCTGAGACGCTAGACCATCAACCCCAAACCCTAAACCCCAAGCCCTAAATTACTAAACCCTAAACCCTAAATTACTAAACCCTATACCCTCAACCCACCCTAAACCCTAAATCCTAAATTACTGAACCCTAAACCCCTAAACCCTAAACCCTAAATTACTAAATTACTAAACCCTAAACCCCTAAACCCTAAACCCCCAAACCCTAAACCACTAAACCCCTAAACCATAAACCCTAAACCCTAAATTACTAAACCCTAAACCCTCAACCCTAAAACCCTACACCCCATTGAGTTTCAGTCTCAGAGACTCAGGCAGCATGGATCCAAAAACTCCAGATCCCAAGCCCTAACACCGAACCCTCTACCCAGTACCCTCCTAAACCCTAAACCCTACACCCTTATAGAACCCTAATATCTTTGGAACCCTAAACCCTAAACCCTCTCGAACCCTAAACTCTAAACCCTAAATCCTTAACCCAGTACCCTCCTAACTCAGCATGATAGAGCCCTCCACACCTAAGCACTGAGGAGAGCCCTAAGCCTAAACCCTAAACCCTAAACCCTAAAACCCTAAACCCTAAACCCTAAACCCTAAAACCCTAAACCCTAAACCCTAAAACCCTAAAAGGAGAGCCCGGATAATTCCTGGAAGAGAAGGCTTGGCACATGCCCTCCGGCAAGATCTGGGAAAGCTCCGTCCGCCTGCGAGAGTTTTGGGTTTACGGGTTTAGGGTTGAGGGGTTTAGGGTTTAGGAGTTTAGGGTTTAGGGTTGAGGGGTTTAGGGTTTAGGAGTTTAGGGTTTAGGGTTGAGGGGTTTAGGGTTTAGGGGTTTATGGTTTAGGGGTTTGG